AATTTTCTAACGCGTATTTTGTTAAAGCAAATAAGTAAAAAATGTACAGCTGAGATTGAAATTCCACTTAAATTGGACAAACAAAACAATATTTATACACAAGAATAAAGAATTATAAAAATCAGAGTTCAACCCAACATATTTGTCATTTATTTTAATTTTATCAGCTATTTGTAAACTATTTCATTTTTACTGTAACATCACTGGTAATTTTAATTATGTGAAATCTCTTCTTTTTGTTATTCTACTAATTTTATTTTTCTCTGAGATATATCCAAATTACCCTTTCATAACGCTATCTCTCTCTCATGATGTCCAATATTATTTTTTTTATTTTTTAGTCATTTTCAATATAGGTATCTATTTCGGATATAATTATCATATAATATAAGTGACATCACTTTTGCCATATTGGTAAAGACAACTCACGACCCGGTTAAATTCATGAGTAAAATATGTCCGAAGATAGATATCCTTTCTCTCTCTAAGCTGCGAAAGTTGAAAGCAGATTGCGCTGTACGTTATTTAGCAAAACCGCGGGTAATTTAAAATACTTATATTTGTACATTAAACCGTAGGATACTACTTATAAAAAAAATAATTTTTGTGATATATTAGAAAATTTTAGAATACGCCATATTTTATTTTTGATAAAGCACATTTTGTTATAAAAATTAATGGAATTAACCCCTGTCCTTGTCTCTTCTAATTAGTTGATTATCCTCTTTACCGACTCATAAAATCGAATTGTAAAGACATTTAAACTAAAAATGCCAGTGAATCTAATTAAATCTTCAATTGCTCAAAAACTATAACAATGCAAAAACATACAGTAATCTAAAAAAAAAATATTTGTTAAGAAAAGCAAATAACTTTTTTTTAGAATTGGTTATATTTTTCTGGTTGAAATAAATTGTTACTTAACGCTATTAATTTTTAATATTTAATCGAAGGGTTTAAAATTTAAATACATTGCTGTTCCTATCCCCATTCTGCTAATTTGAAATAAGCTCCGCCTTGTGATGCCATTTTCTTAGTACTCCCTGGTCTAAACGATAATGTTTTATGCGAATATTTAAAAATATTGTGAATGTCGGTATACTTTTCATTATGTTTATAAAAAAAACACAGCCCCACTGCAATTGAAAAAAGCAATAAATGAAAGCAAACAAAATATTTTTCTCTTAAAATTCTGTACACATTCGGTGACATAATATGCGCGTACCACAAATAAACCTCGGCTTATTTTTAAATCAACAGACAGCGAAGTTTTTATTTGGAACGACAGTAATTGATTGGTTCAAATCACGAAAGGCACGTGAATAATTAATCTAAATTATTTGGACGTCAAAGTAAAGCTCCGGTATTTGTTGCTTTTCGATTTCGAATGCCCGAACTGTTCATTTTTATTACACATTTCCATCGGGTCTTAAAATATTAGCCTGCACGTACATTTACTTCTATATGTCCGTTTAGTTTGACACATTTTACTGTGTATATTAATTAATTTTTTTTAATTTGAGGCAGCGCAGCGTTTTTAATTTATCTTGGAACTAAAATAAAAAAGTTATTTTACCCCTCATAATAATTAATAATACATATAACGAGCAATGAAGAAAAATCTAAATTGGAGTTGGCTGTGAAATTTAAATGTTTATGGATCGTTGCTTTGGCACTTAGCTTTAGCCACAGAATGACATTTTAACCTTGATAATTTGATAAAATATTAATAAAAAAAAATAATGTAAAACATGGTATTCAACACAATAAAGGTGTGAAAGTAAATGGCAAGAGGCAGTATTCAATTTTAGAATTCACGGCTGATTTTCTTGAAGAGCATCCTGAATTATTAGTGTATTGATTACAATAATTTTTACAATGTTTTGACAAATTTTGCGCAGTTATTCAGAGAGACTGGTAGCCTAGGTCGAAAAACTGGAAGTGGACAGCCGTCTAACTTCCAGCTGAAAATATTGAAGACGATTAAAATCCATAAACATCGATTTCAGTAGTAGCCTAACGAACAACTGTGTCTTATGGCACATGCCAACTCATTCTAATGGCGGTTTACCACTTAACGGACAAGACAAGAACAAAACACAAACTCGCGTCGAAAAAACGAAACTGCAGCTTTTCGCAAACTTTTTGAAGACTGGCGTGTTTTGGGACAGTTGGAGTTTTGTTTCTCGAGTCCCGCTCGGAAGCGATATCATCAAAAGGTTTCGACGGGTTTTGAAAATCGAGTATGTTTATTGAAAACGGTCGTTTTGTGTAGTCTAAATTTTGTACCAGATTGGTACCTACAGGTAAGTACATAACGTATTTTTCTATAGATAAGTAATAAGTAATTTATTTTTAAATGCTGTATGTCAGAGACTAGGTTAAGTTCAAATATTGTACTTTTTAGGTTTTTACGATGTCACATACATCTTTTAAACTACTTTTATATATATTTTTAAATTGGACCTATCTTAAAAAATAAATAGATATTATAAATATAAATTTAATATTGAAAAAATGTGTTCTGACTTCCTCGCGACAACCAGTGAAAAAGGACCGAAAACAAAAACAAAACTGTAACAAAATGTAGTCCGCTTGATGGAAACAAGAGTTTTGGGTTTGTCTCAGTTCTGTTTTTGTTTTTCAAATTCCAGAAAACACAAATAAAACATAAACTCAACTGTCCGTTTAGTGGAAAACCGTCGTAAAAAAAGACTTACACTGTCATGCATACAAGCTGCAATACTTTCATGAGCTTTTTCCAGTAGAACATCCAAGACGAGTGGAATTGTCAAGGGTTCCAAAATAATCTAAACAATGAAGATATCCTTAACAGAGTTTTTTTTTGTCAACTGAGACTTCGTTTTATCTTTCTGAATATACTCAATCACAAAATTTGAAATGGTTGTCAATTGAAAATCCTTATTTTTTTGTTGAAGAACCATTGCATCCCAAAAAAGTTGGTGTTTGGTTTTTTAATTGGTAGGTAGTAGATTGGTCACTTCTTTATTTTTTTTACTAGAGACAATATTCAAAATGTATTGTGTTGTGCACGTCAATATCCATAACTAAATATTTAAAGAAAATTAAAACAAATTAAAACTGATGCAAAATACCAACTACACGATGTTATAGGGTTATTGTGCGAGCTAGGTTCGGCTTACTAAGCAAGATTGGCTGAATCACCAGGACTAAAGTAAAATCTGACAAAACCCATAGTATCATAAGTTGTAATTGGTAATTATATCAATCATATAGTTTGCAACCATTTCATTACATAATCTTATATTAAGCAATAACCAAACAAAAAATTAATGCAGATAGAAAACAAAAAACAACTAAAACTGGATCCTATCTTATTTCTGATCCTAATTTGGAATATTTAACATTGTCACATCATTTAGTGAGAAATAATATCACTGGAAGAAACATGCTCATCTATACAAATAGCAGACCACGAATTTACTCAGGGTTAGTACTAGAATGTCACGAAGCTTTGGCCAAGGTATCCATCAACAATGTGGTTAACGTAAGATGGATCAAAGTTCACGCCACATCGAAGGGTAACCGTCTTGCTGATTCACTGGCCAAGAAGGCAGCCAACCAAATACTTTTTGGACTTATTCCATCTTTCGAACTGACAACATCGGTAGTAACAAACCTAATTAAAGAATATTCCTTTTTGAAATTTAAAAAAAGATGGGATGAAACAAGAAGCTGCTGACTTACCATGGAACTTTTAAGTTATCCTGGCAACACTACAGCAAACAAATACTTGACTATCACTAGATAGAATATGCGAATGATCAGGCATTCTAACTGATCATTGCCAAGTACGGAAGCATTTCCATATCATGGGGCTGTCAGAATCGGCACTCAGCAGGGGGTGCAAACAAGAAAATTGGACCATCCAGCATATCCTCTACGATTGCGCGACGCTCTCATTTATTAGAAGATTTGTGTTCGACTAGAGTTAGCTAACACCGGCCAACACAAGAGAAGCATCTCTTGGCGAAGTTGTTATCTACATTAAATATGTAGGCTGGCTAACAAGCCAGGAAGTGCCTATCTACCTAGAATGATACACAATGGGCCTATTGAGGATTAAGTACCGTGGATTAACCCATCTTCCGCACGTTACAGATACAGATGATCTAGTAATTTACAACTAATTTACAACTTGGGTTAGTTCTTTTAGAGCAAAGTAAGCCTTACTAAGCCTACCACAGAGATTATCTACATTAAATATGTAGGCTGGCTAAACTTAATAAGGCGTTTACTTATTGCAATTTCAAACATTTTTGAGAAGCTAGTTAGCAGGCTCATAGGTTTATAGTTTTTATTAAAAATGGATCTCCTTTTTTAGGGTTCCGTACCCGAAGAGTAACCAACGGGATCCCATTACTAAGCCTCCGCTGTCCGTCCGTCTATCAGTATCTCATGATCCGTAGTAGATAGGTAGTTGAAATTTTCACAGAATGTGTGTTTACCGCTGTAACAATCAAATAATAAAAATATATTAAAAAGTAAAGGGAGCTCTCCTACTAGAAACGTTTTTTTACTTTTTTGCGCGATCTTAAGAAAGTATTTAAAAAGTATTAAATATATAGTATTAAATCTTGTACGATGGTGCGGAATCCTCATGCACGAGCCCGACTCGCACTTGGCCGGTTTTATTTTTTAAAATAGGTCTTACAACTGCAGATTTTAGTTTTGATGGGAAATTACCTTGCTTAAAGGAATTATTTATTATGTAACATAACGGCTCAAGAATATATTAAGCAACATTTTTAGTAAACAGATTATGAATATCATCTTTACCTGACAGTTTGTCTTTCAAATTTATTATTTGTAACATCTGCTAGATATTATATAGAATGTTGATTACATTGTATTCTATTTATATCTACATTGCCTATATTTATGTTTCCTAGAACTTGCGAAGCAGCTATTTTGAAATGGTTATTATATTTATTGCAGGCTTGTTCTGGAGAACTTACAATTTGACCTTCAACTTTAATTCCATTGCAAGTAGCCTGCCCACTTCCGTATTAACAACGTTCCAAATTGGCCTTATTTTGTTGTCTGATTCATTAATTTTTATTTATAGATTTTTTTTCTCATATACCTTCTCTGCTAATAAGACTTTGTAAATACATTTGAAAAGACGAGTGTGTGCTCATTGGGTAAGATACCGTTATTCCCTTGTGAGGCAGTTTCAACATTTCGTCCAAAGAATTTAGGGAAACATATATGTTAGTTGTAAGGGGCTTGTAAACGATACATACATAATACATATAACCCATAGTTCAATTCAAATTTAATAGCAAAACATTAAAAATATACTGCTTTGACACATTATTAATGTCTCTTTTTATAATTGGCATAAATCACATCGAGAATAACGTACGTAACATAAGTTTTGAGACAAATTTGGTAAATAATTTTAATCACTTTAAAAAGATTTAGTCTAGTTACCATTGTCTGTAATTTATTCAAGTAGGCCTTGTTGTCATAAATATTGACAGTTGTTTTCGTTAAAAATTTGTAACATGGCGTACAAAATCAAAATACGAAAAAGCATCTATAATTTAGTTGGCCGAATGCAAAATGCGGATGATATAAACATATTTCAAGGACCTAATGTCTCCAGTGCAACTAGTTATACCGCATAATAAAGGATTTGGAGAAATAAATACCTTGTTTAAACGTAGAATGATTGATTCTATATGGAGGATTTCAATGCAGGTTCGGATAATGTGAAATCTAAATTTGAAGATAAAATTCTGGTGCGCTATTTCTTCGACAGGTGCATCGCGTTCATATCTAGGATATGTTAGAGGAGAATCCATCACTGCAAGTCTTTATATACAAAGATATTTGCCTAAATTGTTACGATTTATAAACAACTATTACAATAATGACTAAATCATGTTTCGGTCTGGGCTAGCATCTTGTCCTTATGCCAGGCAAACCAGAGAAAATGATCCATCTAATGTACCTCAAGCACGCCCTATCGAAGAATTTTGGGCCTTATTAAGGAGGAAAGTTTATGATAATAAATGGAAGGCAGAAAATAAATATTTAAGAAGGAAAATGTATCATAAGATTCGGGAAATCAATGTTGCTTCCATCCAATCACTTAGAAGGTGCTTGAAAAACAAAAATATGACGGATTGAAGACCATGGGCCGTTAGCTGCATTATATTATATTCTTATTGTTAAGAAATGATGTTAATCGTTAACCATTTTGCAAATTTAAATAAAGTTGAAAATTTTAACAAACAGTGTTGACTTGATTTTTGTCCCAAAACTTATGTTACATACGTTATAACACTACATCACCATGAGCAGCTTCATTTGACCAACAAAAATATTAAACAAAATTGTAATTGTCAAGCGGATATGCCTCAATACTATGAACAGTTTGCAAATGTTCACTGACTGCTACGAATTGGGATTGTACTTCACTAACATGTACATTTAGTTGATTAATACTAGTATATATGCATTCGACGTTTTGATTAAACACACCAAAAATCAAATCACACTTTTTTCTTTACCGTTTGTAGTTTCTTTGTCTTTCGTTAGTTTCTACATCTTCTTTTTCTTTTTCATTTCTAACTGAGCAAGCCGTTTGAAACAGGGACATTCAGGATGAGTAAGACAATGGTTAGTTTATAAATTCTTTCCCAATCTATTGTTGGTTTCTAGACAGTTAATGCATTTCTTTTCTAGTGTATTATTACATTCTTTGCTGTTACATATACTAATCTGGCATTGTGATTGTGTATGGTCATATTTGCCACATTTAAAGCATCTTACAATATTGTTATAATTATTTTCTAAGCACCGCTTTTAGCCAATATTTAAATGTCCATCTTCACAAATGTTCTTACTTAGATCTACAGCAATCTCCTTGTTTGTTCTATTATTAAGTTTAAACTTGGTTATAATTTAAATTACTGAATTTTGCTTTAGATTTAAATCATTTTGATTTTTTAGAGCGCTCAAAATATCTTCATCCTCTCCTTCTATATATTTATTATCCACTCCACAGATGGTAACTTTTAAATTTTCTTCTGTTTCTCATCTTCGACCTAATATTTAATACTCAAATTTTCTGAATTGCGGAGAATAGTTGATTTATCTTTAGTGGTAAATGGATAATATTTTCAACATTTTCAATAATGTCAATTTTATGTTAATTTTGATTATGATTTCGATAGTAAATTGATTATATCATTCTTTTTTTGTTGCAGTATCATTTCGAGGCAATAAACTTTGTTTACAATAAAAATTTCCTGTAATAAATGTTATTTTGTATAAGTAGCTAAAGTTCTTAAAACATTTAAATTCAACAGCCTACTCCAATTATGATTTTTTTTTCTATGATTCGTTATTAAATTATCTTACAATACTTACATTTCCATTTTGCATAAAATATCATTATCCAAACTAAAGTTCAAATTAAAATTTTCACCCACAAAAAGAAAAACACGAACTTTAAAACACAAAAATTAAGAATCGCGAGCTAGTTAATACATATTCTGTTTCGTATCGCAAATGAAACTGCTAAAAGCAAACAAATTCCGATTGTTCTGCAGGAACAGAGTTAAACTGATAATTGTTTTTAAATGTCTTAATGACCATTATCTCTTTACTAAAATTTAATTGACGCCGGATGACGTCACCCATTAGCAGCTTCCCGGATTTCATAATATCGAATTTTTTGTAATAAATTTGTTATTCCTAACATCAATGTCAACCCGCTGTTGTTTTCATATTTGAATAGATACGATAGTGTGTAATTTTAGAACTGATATTCTTTAATTATATTCGTTATCGGTTACTTCATTTGCGAAGTATTAATGATAGTGTCGGAGACTGTTAATAAATCAAATTTAAAGGAAACTACTAATTATACTATATGATATAGCAAGTATTACATACCACCGAAGTTAAAGTCTAATGATGTAAAGACCGTGTCAAGATATTTCATTTTGATTTGACTTACCACTTGCATTCAGAGGATTAGAGGATGATCAGTCAAAATTGTAAAGCAATCAATAATAGAGTTGAAGTTTGATGGCCGATGGGCATAATTAAATATAGGAATTTAAAAAATTAAAATTTGAGCTAGGTAAATCGAGTATGACGTCAAGACGACCATGCAATATTTTAGAGATTTGAAGTCGGCTTTTTCTATTATGGCGTTTCATCTGAGTTAGTTGTACTAATTTATTAAATTACCTATTGCCTACCATACGTTATATTTGAAATACCTTCGAGATATCATAAGTTTATTCCAACAGCGAATCAGAAAGACGTCAGATGCATGCGCATTTAAAATAGTCCGTTCCTACAAAGTCACGGATAATCCGATGAACGATCAGTAAAACGTTCCAGCGTATTTTCTGATTCGTACAAGAATAACTCGGCGGATTGTCAAAACGATCAGAGCTTCATCGCTTATACAATTTATCAGCACATGCGCATTTGAACGTCTCTTCTTGTTCGTGCTATTTGTTTGTAATTGTTGGGATTTTAAGTTCGTTCGGAGTGGCTTGGGTTTCTATTTCTTTCAATTGACATAAATAATTTTTGTTTTTATCTTGGGAAGGTGTTTTTTTATGTAAAATAGTACCTACCTATTTTTAATAAAAATAAACATCTTATGGTTTCAAAATTATACATTCACATAAAGCGTTCGAGACAGCTAAATAAATGTATTTTGTTGTATTTTAAATAATGTTTAAAATATCAATTCACCAAACATGTGGTTGGTTCATATATAAATTAATATGGAAGATAAACCGTTTAAATGCAAGGCACTGGTAACAAGTTTAGTTCCTCAGCATACTATTTGGAGCCACCATCACAATAAGATAAAAGCGATGTTGCCAGTTCCCATAAACTTTCATGAGATTAGAGTTATTTCAAACATACACACAAAAAAATTATCATCTACATTCAAGAAAATCTTTACACTTGGAAGATTACATTTGTTTAAAATAAAGTAGAGTTTGCTTTAAATAATATTTCTTAGAGTTATTTCAAACATACACACAAAAAAATTATCATCTACATTCAAGAAAATCTTTACACTTGGAAGATTACATTTGTTTAAAATAAAGTAGAGTTTGCTTTAAATAATATTTCTCGATACAATAAGAAATTAAATGTTTAGTGAAGTGTAGGCATAATCTTGTATTTTAAGATTTATAATAATTAATCTGAGAATAAATTATTTCATTCGAGTCTAGAATTGTTAATTAATCCAAGAAAGCTTCTACGTTTATTGTAAGTATGATATGCTCTTAAAACCGACTATCGCGTACTTGATTCAATGTTATAAAAGGATTCGATTCAAAGCATTTAAATTTCAGAACAAGAATTAAACAATTCGAATTAAAAATCTATGTACTTCACAAAAGTATAAATTCACTGCACGGTGTTGCCAGCTGTAACTTATTTTAAAATGCCAACCACTGCACTGATAGGTATGACTGGTACATGTTGAAATGTGATAGTTATTATTCGGAAGTCAGAGACACAACACATTTATAGAGAATCTGGCAAATTGGCATTAGCACGTGTTCATCCTATTGTCCATTTTCTAACAAGTTTGCATCGTATCGTTAAGGTTGAGTTCTACATTTTGTTAGAAATTCTTTGTGATTCAATTAATAGGTGTATGAATAAATTAAATTGAAATGGAAGATTTGTTAGATCGATGGGGCCTCAGCGACCTGATACCAATATTTAAATGTAAGTATATTTAGTTCACTTCTTGTTAGGTATTATATATAAGTAAATTTATAATCATAAGAACACGAAACAAACTAGAAGTAAAAAAAAAATGTATGATGCTGGATGACGACTTTTTGGAAAGCTGCTAAGACAAGATTCTTACAAATTTAATAAGCTTTCATTTTATTTTATTTTATTATGACACAAAATAATAAAGGCCTACTTGCATTAGAAAATATTTACTATAATTATAAGAAAAGGTTAGTAAAACAT